ATGGAAAGAGGCTTGTCGATTACAGTTTGTTGTTTTATTAAATAAGTTCGAACAATGTCCGCTCACAGCAGCTTCCGTGAGCCGGTCCGGTAATTGGATCATTTTCTCAGGAGAATGACAGAACAAGAAAGATCAAAAACTGGAATTTTTGCTATTTGTATGCTCTTATCGATTACCGTTTAGGTTTTGTTGTCTTGAAATATCGGTTTATGAAGAACGATGTTTTTCGGATTGACGGTTTAAATCTCAGTTTATAATTTTTCGTCTTCCTTAATTGATATAACAATTGTCGTTCACTTCCGGCAAAGCCGAAAACTTACATAACGTGGGAATGTCACTATATAATTTGGCTCGGGTTTTGCTAATCAAACTTACGTTCCAACAATCGTCATTCCCTTTCATATTTGGTCGACTATGGAAGTCATTTCTTTTGTGATCAGAGTAGAACTTCCATGACACGGGAATGTCACTGTATAATTTGGATCAAGTTTTGATAATCAATTTGAATTCTAGTTTTTCACTTACTTTATTTGATCAACTTTGAAAGTGATTTTGTCTTTTTGTGGAAGTGGAATAAATCACCGCTAGCATGTCATCTTTCATATGCAAGTGAAATCAAAGTATTTCATAACGTGAAATATTACTATATAATTTGGCACGAGTTTTGATAAATTTAAATTCTAATTTTTCACATTCTTTATTTGATTGACTCTGAACGTAATTATTTGTTTTTATTAGAATAATCACCGCTATTATATCATCTTTCATATGCAAGCGAATTCAAATTTCTAACGACACAAACCAATTAAAAAAAATCGCTACGGTGGGACACGTGGCCCTCTCTCCTTTCCGTTCCGTTGGAGTTGTCCCCCTACGCTCCCTTCCGCCTCGTTTAAATTTAAAAATCCAAACTCCCCAACAGAACGAGCGGACGGTCCGATTTCGATCCAGAAAACAAGAGGGAGAACCAGAAATTCAAATTTCTAGGGTTTCCGATTTCCCGATCTGTCAGAAATGGAGAAGTACGAGAAGCTTGAGAAGGTCGGCGAAGGCACGTACGGAAAGGTCTACAAGGCGAAGGACAAAGCCACCGGCCAATTGGTGGCGCTGAAGAAGACGCGCCTCGAGATGGACGAGGAGGGCGTGCCACCCACCGCCCTCCGCGAGGTCTCGCTCCTCCAGATGCTTTCTCAGTCGCTCTACATCGTCCGATTGCTCTGTGTCGAGCATGTAGACAGCAAGGAGGGGAAGCCCGTCCTGTACCTGGTGTTCGAGTACTTGGACACCGATCTCAAGAAATTCATCGATTCGCACCGGAAGGGGCCGAATCCGCGGCCGATGCCGCCGTCGCTGGTGCAGAGCTTTATGTACCAACTGTGCAAGGGGGTGGCGCACTGCCACTCCCATGGCGTCCTCCACCGCGATCTGAAGCCCCAGAATCTGCTGCTTGACAAGGAAAGGGGGATTCTGAAGATTGCTGATCTCGGACTTGGCCGCGCCTTCACTGTGCCTCTCAAGAGCTACACGCATGAGATTGTTACTCTCTGGTATAGAGCGCCGGAGGTTCTGCTAGGGTCGGCTCACTACTCCACCGGCGTTGATATGTGGTCTGTCGGATGCATCTTCGGTACTCCTTTCTTGCACTCCTAATTTCTTCAATATCGTATTGAAATATCTTCAATTGGTTGATTAATTGTTCAATTCAATTGATTGTGTTATTATTTGGGTCTTGAATTGCAGCCGAGATGGCGAGGAGGCAGGCTCTGTTTCCGGGAGATTCTGAGTTCCAGCAGCTGCTTCACATTTTCAGGTATTTGTGTTATGTTTCCTCTCATTTTTCTTCGCATTTCGGTTCAAATTTAATTTTTGGGACTATGAAGAAGGAAAAGATAAAATCTTGCTGGTGTTTTACTATATGTGTAGGCTGCTAGGAACACCATCTGACAAGCAGTGGCCAGGAGTTTCTTCTCTGCGAGATTGGCATGTGTATCCGCAGTGGGAGCCTCAGAACTTGGCTCGTGCTGTTCCTGCTCTGGGGCCTGAAGGAGTTGACCTCCTAGCCGTAAGTTTTCTTCGCTTCGATTAACTTATCGCTTAGAAACCAACGATGGGTTTACTCTTCTCAACAGCATTTTTCAATCCCATAACTGTTTTGTTTGATATTCATATATTCCTTCGAAGAATTTGGCATTTCGCAACGTTACACACAATGGAACGATGCATAAGAATCAAATTACTTGTATGATGATCTACCTATCTGTTTGCCAGCAATTTCTCTGTTTGTTATCTTCATTTCTCAACATCGATTAGAAACCTTGGAGTTCGAATCGACTTGTAGCTTTGTTGTGTCATTGGTTGTCTGCTCCATATGCTCAGTCTAATACTGTCTTGCTTTTGGACTATGCAGAAAATGCTTAAGTACGATCCAGCTGAGCGAATTTCGGCCAAAGCCGCCCTTGACCACCCCTATTTCGACACCCTCGATAAGTCTCAGTTCTGAGGTTTCACCATGAACACAAAGATGACATGAAGTGCTTTCTCATATCTAGGACGAGATGAATTCAGTGCTGCCTTGCCGTTTTTCAACCGTTGTCCGGGAAAGTCAGCCGTCATCATCTTGGTGATTCAAAATTATCCTATGATGCTTGCAGCTATGTAAATCACATTACGGTTACCTTGTTAGACAAATCATCGTCGTTTTAAGTATCGTATTTGGGTGTTAATCAATTAAAATTTGCAACCGTGGTTGACGATAGCGAAGATATAAAGATCGAAATTTACTGTTTCTGAATCTCTTGATGTTGCATGCTTGTTTAAATAGCCGTAGGTACTCATCGTTTATCGATTTAAGAATCGTTTTTTAGCGACCACGAGCGATGACGTGTCGAAGTGAAAGTTCTTGGGATTATTGAATGTAAATCTGTGCACGAGCCTATGCAAACAAGGTTAAGAGCAACTCCACCGTGGTGGATTGTTAGGGGACAGGCCAGTGAAAAGGGCCCGAGGTCCTGTGGATTCACTCCAGCGTGAAGGAGCCCGAGTGGAGGTGGAGGCCTGAGCTTCGGGCCTGTGAAGAATTGCCAGCCCGAGTGGATGTGATGCTAGGGTTGACGTTAGCCCGGCATCAAGCCCTTTTTGTATTTTTTTTCTGTCAGGCGCGTGCACCCCACTAGTTTTTGTAGGCCGTGGTCAACGAGAACTTATAATCGAGGATTGAAAAACTAGAAAAATCATGGATGATTAGGTACTTTCAATGGCAGAGCTAGGAAATTTTCACTGGGTGGGCTAACTTAAAATTTTAATCTTTATAAACAAAGAAACTTGAAACTGTATTTTTTAGAGTATGCTCTAGCTTAAGAAAATTTCACAAGGTGAGCCGAGAAATTTCATTATTAAACAAATACATGTTAAAATTCAAACAAATCCAAACTTGTACATGTACAAGAAGCGATGAGAAAAATGATGTAACAAAAAGAGATGGTTTGTAAACTGTATTATATAATTTTATATGGTTAAACCAAGAAAACTAAGATTAGTGACTAAATATATAATGGGTTACATTCGAAAATCAATAAAAATTACAGTAAAATTTTAATTTTTTACGGAAAGCTACCTGGGCTATAGCCCAGGGTAGCCCTTAACATGGCTATGCCATTGGGGACTTTGGTTTTTGTGTAACATCCCACATATGGGAATATACATATGTATATATTAACAGTAAATTTCGAGTATATTCACATCCCTATAAGCCCTTAACATGGCTATGCCAGGGTAGCCCTTAACATGGCTATACCTTGTATATACATATAAGGCTTACAGTAAATTTCGAGTGTATATTAACATGGCTATGCCATTGGGGACTTTGGTTTTTGTTGCATGCTTGTTTTACAGTGGATCATGTAAGCCTTATATGTATATTCACATCCCTACCTAGTACGAGGCTTTTTGGGAGCTCACTGGCTTCGAGTTCCGTAGGAACTTCGAAGTTAAGCGAGAAGGGGGCTAGAGCAATCCGATGATGGGTGACCCACTGGGAAGTTGCTCGTGAGTTCCTAAAAACAAAACCGCTTTGGGCATAGTCGGGTCCCAAAGCGGACAATATCGTGCTACGATGGAGTCGGGCCTGGGAACTGGTCCCGCTCGGGCTGGGATGTGACAATTTGGTATCAGAGCCTAACCCTGGCCGTGGTGTGCCGACGAGGACGCCGGGCCCCTAAGGGGGGTGGATTGTAAGATCCCACATCGCCCAGGGGAGTGATCCTTATATGTATATTCTCATCCCTACCTAGCACGAGGCCTTTTGGGAGCTCATTGGCTTCGAGTTCCGTAGGAACTTCGAAGTTAAGCGAGAAGGGGGTTAGAGCAATCCCATGATGGGTGACCCACTGGGAAGTTGCTCGTGAGTTCCCAAAAAAACAAAACCATGAGCCATTGGTAAGCCCAAAGCGGATAATATCGTGCTATGGTGGTGGAACGGACCTGGAAAATGATCCGCTCTGGACCGGGATGTGACATTTTGACCTAAGAAAATTACTACTACGGGAAACATGGTTTATAGGGAAAAAAAATTTAGCTGACCGTCACACTGGTTAACTAATCCATGTCTTATGTCTTAAGGGCGACAAATTTGATATTTCATAAACCTAGGGTGTGTATTAATAAATAGATATCGTCGATATCGTCACATGACAGTGTGATCTTCAAGCTAAAATTTTCTCCATATCGTACTGACTAAACAAAACAAGAAGGTAGTCAATCTGGTTACGATCTATCTCAATATCAAGATCATTTACAGCCTAATTATCCCATTTTCCATGGAAGAACGGCCCATCTAAGTCGGGGAAAGGTTGTGGGGTGCTGATTTCTTGTTCTAATTGGTTGGCAACATTTGAACCTCTCCATAAAATTAAGGTTCATGTCACAACTCACAAACCCAAAAACAGAACAAGTCTCTTAATTCCTCTGACCAAATAACATCAAAAAATTCCACCAATTCTCTCTCTCTCTCTCTCTCTCTCTCTTCCTCAAGATTATAAAAAAATTAATACATAATTAATTGTAGGATCAAATCATAAAACAAAAATAGTGAAGAAGATAGGGAAGTGGGGGATGGAAGGATTGGATGCGCTGATACAGAGACTGTTGGAAGGCAGGGTTCACAGAGGTAAGAGGATTCAGCTAACCGAATCCGAAATCCGGCAACTTTGCATCACTGCCAAACAAGTCTTCCTCAGGCAGCCTAATCTTCTCGAATTGGAAGCCCCCATCAACGTTTGTGGTAATAAAAATGTTTATGATTCCGGCAGCTAGATTTTTCGATCTCGTTGCATTGTTTGTTTGTCGTTGATCTAGTAAAATGTAGACTTGGAATGCAAGCAATGAGATCATATTAAAGAGCCCTGCTATTTGTACCGCATTTACTTATCATATTTCGGTTGTGCAGGTGATATACACGGGCAATATCCTGACCTCTTGCGATTATTTGAGTATGGAGGCTTCCCACCGGAAGCCAACTATGTATTCCTTGGAGACTACGTCGACAGAGGAAAACAAAGCACAGAGACAATATGCCTTCTCCTTGCATATAAAGTCAAATTTCCGGACAACTTTTTCCTCCTCCGAGGGAACCACGAATGCGCTTCCATCAACCGAATCTATGGATTCTACGATGAGTGTAAACGCCGCTTCAGCGTCCGGCTATGGAAGATCTTCACAGACTGCTTTAACTGTTTACCTGTGGCTGCAGTCATAGATGACAAGATCTTCTGCATGCATGGTGGCCTTTCTCCTGAATTAAACAGCTTGGAACAGCTCAGAGCGATTGAAAGGCCGGTTGACGTGCCGGATCAAGGGCTTTTGTGTGACCTACTTTGGTCGGATCCGGACAGGGACATTAAAGGGTGGGGTGAGAATGATAGGGGTGTTTCTTTTACCTTTGGGGCAGATAGGGTTGCAGAGTTCTTGATGAAACATGATATGGATCTCATATGCCGGGCTCACCAGGTCTCTATCTTTCCCTTTTTTATATTTTATAACGTTCCAAAGAGTAATTTTATCGTATCACCAGTTGTATACAATTATGTCTCAACATGTTTTAGATCACATAATAAGAGAGGTATGCCGCTTGATTGTATGCAACCGGTGATTGGAAAGAAGAACATCAAGTTTTCAAGCATTATTTTATGACGAGTCATGTTACGGAAATGATTTCCGCACTTCCTTTTCTCCTTCTGCAAACCCTTTTTTCTGTCAATTGAATCTCCTTTGATTTAATCAATTGAAAGTGGGTAGAAAAGAAGAGGGGAATGCAGAGGTGAAAAAGAAAGTGTGGAAATCATTTCCTATGTACCACATCTACCGTCCACATTTGGTAAATGATCTTTGCCGCTGTCGCATTAAGGCTGAAGCCTTCCTTTTCCTTTGTTGACAGGTCGTAGAAGACGGATATGAGTTCTTTGCAGACCGGCAGTTGGTGACCATATTCTCGGCACCAAACTATTGTGGAGAGTTCAACAATGCAGGTGCATTGATGAGTGTCGATGCCAGTTTGCTTTGTTCATTTCAAATAGTGAAACCTTGGAGAGGGAAAGCTTTTCAGGTAGAATGATTCTAAAGCAACAGGGGAGCTCTGGAATTTGAATACAATTTACAGAAGTCAAATATGCATGCCAAAAGCACTTTTGCATATATTCCTGCAAGCAAAAGCATTAAAAAGCTGTCCGTGTATATAAAACCGTCATATACATATAACTTTTCTGATATCTTGCTTACAATTTTTTTCCCGGATTTGGCTGATTTTCTTTAAGCTCGGTTCATCCTTCTTCGAATAAAAAAAAAAATTATAACGAGTCTTCATGTGCTTCCGCTTCGAAGGAAAATGGAGTGATCAACCAGAGCTAAGCCAAGATCTTCGTTTGTAATTCAAGAAAATATGGATCAACAGCTTACAATGTTGTTTGATATATTCAGTTTGATCAGATAAATTCGAAGGTAACCAAGAGCATAGCAAGAAATTGAATGTTCAAAAGAGAATATACAATTAGCAAACTAATGAAATAGTAACATAAGCAACTTCTTCTAGCAAACTGGTGGAAAACTGGAGTCTTATCTTGCGCTTCAATAAAAATTATGCCAAATGTTGAAAAAGGGATTGCAACTCCGGTGATCTGCTTCTGCTTCATCTGGCTTCCCACAACGTTTTAGTGGAATCAAATTCCCATAATTTTTTAGGGAAAGCAAGCCGCTGGTATACCTAAAGATGCTCGTATGCACTCCCTTTTGGGATACTGGACATTCCATGGGATTTATGTTACCAGTTCTTAGATCCAAAAGACTATAACGTTGCTGCTATTTCTGGAACGTTTGAAAAAATATCCCATGCTCCCATTCGCCCCAAGTCCAAAATCTAAAACTTCTTATATATGGATACTCTGCATTATTAATCATTCTGGCCTCTATTCTGTGACCTAAAATCCACTCTTTTTCATCATAGTTTTTGAGCATCCATATCATATGTCAAGATATCTATTTGATGAAGCATCAATGGCGGGGGACTTACGCGGCATGTTTCTTAAGGGGGATCAGGAATATTCCAACCGAACTCCTCTTTCTTGAAGTCGAATGACAAGATACTTATACAATGGAAAATATTTGCTTGAACTCCTCCAGTTGTTGCACGACGAATTAATCAGTGCATGTCTCCGTATGCAGATAAATTCTTATCCGTCAACTTACAGGGTGGAACTGAGAATATCTCTCTCCATGAACTTGTGCCCAACACATAAACATGAGCAAGGAAACAGTTGTACCCCGCATCTCCACAAACACCGACAATTTTGTGCGTACAAGTTGTGTTGTCAAATCCCATACCATACCGATATGCAGAGAACGCTGTTATTTTCAGATTTAGATGTTCTGGAATTTGGGTAATACAAGTTGGGAGCATTGCAGCTTCTCCCTTCAACAGATCTAACAACACGCACCGGCTACCATAGTTTCTGTCCTTGATGCAAACCAAGTTGCAGAAAACAAAATGTAGTTGGAAAGAAAGTTCGTACCACCAAGACAAAATCTCCGAGACAATCCTCGTCATGGGTCTGCTGGTCATTTTCAAAGTATTGCCATCGTATTCGAATGATTGCATGGAAATTAGCTATTCGGTGTACTTTTTCCTGGACTGAGAAACAATCACAAGTTGAGGTACTTCCGCAGTGGGCGTTCGTAGTAACAAGAGAATTCATGTGTTGGTTAAGAAACAAGGGGCAGCTGACTATGTTTCGCAAGGGTTTCGTGACACATCCAACGGAACAAACTGATTTCGCCGGCAGCCTAGAGAAAATGTCGACTAGGTTATCTAGGTCCATCAAGTTTGTTTTCCTGGTGCTGCAGCGTCTCATCCTTTTAGTTCCCGGCATCTCCATTAGTCCTACTCAATCAAACAAAATAAAAAATTTAATAGTCTCACTCAAACAAATTAAAAATTCAATAACAGAAGGGAAGGAGCGGTTTAGAAATTTTACTTATAAACACCAGTAGAGAATGGTCTAAATTTGAGAGTTAAACTCGTAACCAAGAGGCAGCGAAGGGTAAGCTTTTGTTTGTTTTTTATTTATTATTATTTTTGTAAGATTTAAAATCTTTTATCAAATGGTAATTGTTCATAAGTTTGAGTCTCAAGGGGCAATACAAATACAAGAAAGAAAGGTACATCTAATCACCTAGACAACAGGTGTCACAACTCACAGAGGGCCAGACACATTAGGAACATATAAAGTCATGCTTTGATAAACAAAATATAAACAACATTGGAGAAAAATTAAGAGATAGCAAATTCGCACAACAAATTCATAATGAATTAGCTCGGATTCAAGAAATCGAAAAAAACAACTTTGGTACAAACAATTGCGAGGAGCCATTGTACCTTAATTATTATTCAGCTAACACTCACTAATGTTGGTTATATTAGTCTATCTCAGATAATATCTGCATGTCTCTGTTTAGATCGGTTTGTCTCAGATGAGATTCAAATTCGAGAGCTAAAATTGTTGGAAGTTTAGATCGCCTAGAGCCTATGAGATAAACAAACATAATTTAACATAAAATAGTGTACTTTACAATTTGATAATGGGAGATATTGACACACCAAGAAAATCATCATGCATTACCTAATAGAAAAATAAAGATCCACCCAATGTCGCTCAACTATGTCTGTCTCAATTCAGATTTGCTTGTCTCAAATTGGATTTGCTTGTCGCAAATCAAATCGTCTCGTCTCAGATATTCGAGAGCCTAGAACGCGGCAAGCCCAAATCGATTCGAGCCTATATGGCCTAGTGAAGATTTCAATGAGACAATAAACATAGTTTATTTAACAAAACATAAAAGGGTACAATTGACAATTTGAGACTTTCGTTACACAATTGATAATGAGAGTTATTGACATTCTAAAAAAGTTTTCATGCATTACCTAATATAAAAATAAAGAAAAAAATGAATGCATAATGATTTTGTTAAAGGAAAATAACAATTAGGAAAACAAAGGAAAGAATGAATGCGTAATGATTTTTTGAAATGCGAATAATAATTTCTTGTACCAATAAAATAAAATACTAATCCAGAGAAGTCCCGATATTTCTCAAAAGGCAAAAATATAGAAAGAAACAACCGAGTAATGGTCCTTTTTACTCTTGGGAATATAATTCAAAGGAAATATGGATGAACAGCTTAAAAGGTTGTTCTCTAAATTCAGTTTAATCAGAGACAAATTCAAAGGAAAGTACCCTGAAATTTATAGCAAGGAATTATTCAAAAAGGAAAATACAATACATTAAGGTACAAATAATGAGATAACAATAAGCAGCTTCCTCTAATCAAACTTACACAGGTTTGAAAATGCATTAAGATCCCGGGAGCTTGTTTTCGGTTCCACCAGATACCCATAACTTCTTAGGGAAATCAAACCACCGGTATAACTCAGTACGCTCGTATGCAATCCCCTTTTTGATACCGGACATTCTACACAGTTGATGGAAGCACTTCTTAGATCCAAAAAGATTACATCAGGCGTGGTGCAATCGGATTTCTTAAAAAATATGCCGTGCTCCCATTCACCGCAAGTCCAAAACCTAAAACTTCTGTACGGGCATGCTGCTATAAACGCACTGCCATCAATTCTGTAGCTGAAAATCCACTCTTTCTCATCATAATTGTTCAACATCCAAATCTCCAGGTACTTATCGGATGAAGCGTCAATGAGGGACAAAGATCCCTTCAGATTGACCAACTGAAAGCGCTCGACAGGAGGGAAGTTACGGGGCCCTCTGCTTGAGGGGGGAACAGGAATGTTCCAACAAAACTTGTCCTTCTTGAAGTCGAAGGTTAATATGCTTATGTAGAAGAAGATATCTTCTTGAACTCTTCTTGAGTGCGTTGTTAGCCAATGCATATCTCCATAAGCTGACACTTTCTTATCAGTTATTTTTCGAGGAGGAACTGAGTCTATCTCCCTCCATGAGCTTGTTCCCAGCACATGGACATGAGAGACCAAATATTTGTACACAGTATACCCAAAATCATAATCAAACTTGTATCCAAAAACACGAACAATCTTATACTTGTTGTTCGCATTATCGAATCCCATCCCATACCAATATTCATAGGATTTGGGAATTGTATTTGCTGGAACATCGGCACGAATGGTGTTATCAACTGGGAGTATAACAGCTTCTCCCTTCAACGGATTCAACAGCAAGCACCGGCGTCCATAACCATAATTGCTGTCTTTCAAGCAAACCAAGTTGCAGAAAAAAAACTCTAGGTCAAAAGAATAATTTTGCCTGCGAAATATAACCTTTGAGACAATGGTATGCCTGCTCTTTTCCAAAGAAGTGCCGTCGTATTGCAGTGATTGCAACACCGTCAGCTCTCCAGCGTACCTGTTCTTTGATTGTGCCACAACCATAAGCCGAGGCACTTCAGAAGCGGCGTTTGTCGCAGTCAGAAAATGCATGTGTTGCTTGACAAAATAGGGGCAGCTGACGATGTTTGACAAGGTTTTCGACATGCATCCGAGTTGAATAAGTGACTTTGCCGGCAGCTTCGAAAAGATGTCGACGAGGTTATCGTTGTCGACGTCCATCAAATTTGTTTTCTTGCTGTCGCTGCCTTGCCTTTGTCTCAATCTTTTTATACTCCGCGTCTCCATTTAGTGCTCCTTATTCAAACAAAATAAAAATATATATTTAATATTCTCAATCAAAGAAATAAAAAATGCAATTTTATCTTATTTAATTTTCGTAATCAAATGAGATTTGTTTTCACGAATTACAGCCACAAATGGTCAATAATCACAAACGGTAATAAAATTACAAGAATGGTATATATCTACATCATATAAATAAAAAATAATAAAGAATTCATCCCGGCACAACCCCAACCATAAAAGGACCAAGAGTACACATTTGCAACACAAAGTTAAGCTTGGATAAACAAAGCATCTACACCATGAAAAATAAAACTATACCTCTAAAAGGAGAGATAACAAATTCTCATAAAAACTCAGAATAAATTGCTGCAACTTTTTGGGCTAACTAAAGCCTAAAAAACAACTTTTACTAACATTTATAAGAGTAATTGTACCTTATTTCTCAACACGGACTCACCGCTGTCACTCAGATTTGTCCAGTCTTAAATCAAATATAAACTTGTGAGCCTAGATCGTTGAGAGACTAGATTGCCTAAATCGTTGAGAAACTAGATCACTTAAATCGACGAGAAACTAGATCGCTTAAATCACCGAGAAACTAGA